ACAAGGGTTTAGGGTTCCGGGCTTAGGGTTACAGGAGCGTTTAGGGTTTAGGGTTCTGGGTTTAGGGTTTAGAGTTTAGGGTTTAGGGTTTAGGGTTTAGGGTTTAGGGTTTCTGGTTTCTGTTTAGGGTTTAGAGTTGGGAGTTTCAGGGGTTCGGGTCGAGGGTTTTTGATGTTCGTGTGGGGGCTGTATGCTGCGGATGTCATTTATGACGGGCTCTTATCACAGTGTGAGGAAAGCGGGTTTTTGGAGTGTCTGTCTGGGTAGGGCGTGTAAAGGTGTCGATTCTATTGCATTGTAAACCCTAAACCCTAAACCCTAAACCCTAAACCCTGCGAAAGAAGTTCCGTGAGCCTGCAGCATTCATTTGCTATAGGGGCCTTAATACTTAGGGTTTAGGGTTTAGGGTTTAGGGTTTTTTATGGTTTGGGGTATATCATACTAGAATTTTAAAAAGGAGCCCCCCCGAAACCTAGTCTAATGTAAGTATTACCCTAACCCTCCAGGTAGCTGCCATATGGGGCCTTAGGGGCTCTAGTACCCTATTGGGGGGTTCGGGTTCAGGACTATACGATTTTGGGGCCTTATTATACTCATGGCATAATATACCCCACAGCCCTATTAAAATTATGAAGGCCCCTAAACCCTACACCCTTGTAGTAGCCCTTATAGAACCCTTGAAGGAACCCCAAGGAAACCCTAAACCCTAAACCCTAAACCCTAAACCCCTAAAAACCTAAACCCCTAAACCCTAAACCCTAAACCCTAAACCCTAAACCCTAAACCCGAAGGAACCCCAAGCATCAACTCGAAGATCTCTTTCGAGGGTGATGAAGCTTCAGGTGTCACCGAGTCGGTTCCAGACCGACCCTGCGTTTAGGTTTAGGGTTTAGGGTTTAGGGTTTAGGGTTTAGGGTTTAGGGTTTAGGGTTTAGGGTTTAGGGTTTAGGGTTTAGGGTTTAGGGTTTAGGCTTAGGGTAGGGCTTTTGACTCCACCCCCAAGAGATATTCTAAATCCGAAACCCGACACCCTAAGACCCGGCCAAGAGCCGACACCCCAAACCCGAAACCCGAAACCCTGCTAAACCCTAAACCCTAAACCCTTTTTGCGGGTTTGTGAGTTAGGGTTCAGGTTTAGGGTTTAGGGTTTAGGGTTTAGGGTTTAGGGTTTAGGGTTTAGGGTTTAGGGTTTGGGCTTTGGGCTTAGGGTTCAGGGGCCTAGGCATCTCCTCGAAACGCGAGAGCTTACATCGCCAACCGGCGACTAGGGTTTAGGGGTGTCGGGAACTGTCAAACGTTTTGGCAAAAACCCTAAACCCTAAACCCTAAACGTTTTGGACAACCCGAAACCCTAAACCCATGTTCTGCCAGGTCTCTCGCCTGGAACCGGACTGCAAGCGCGCCAAGATTGCGGAGGAGAGTGCTGGTTTGTTTCTGTCATTCTAAGGTTAGACTTATTGGCTGTAAACTCAACTGTTCAACTTTTGGGGTTCTTATAAGGTAGTCGATTCTGAAAGTTTCAACTTTTATCTCCTTGGGTTTTGGGCCAGTCAGTAGAAGTATGGGCCCCTAATATGGGCCCTTAGCCCTTCCTAGGGACTCTGAAGGGTACATCGGAGTAGTTCTCTGAACTAGCGTCCCTTTTTGGGTCCCCAATATAGTACGGCACCCTTATAAAAAAGGACCTAAAAAGGGACCCTAATTTAGAGAACTACCCATAGAGGGTATTATATAGTATCAACCTTCAACTCTGTCTTGTTTTTTGTCATGATGCTTATTCCGCCTCAACTTCTTTTGACTCCTGCCATGTTCAGAGGGTCCTGGGTGTTGAGGCTGTGGGGGTTTAAGGCTGAGTCACTTCCGTCGTATTCTTGTAATGACTATATTGTTGTTGTTCGCACAGTTTGTCCTAAACCCTAAACCCTAAACCCTAAACCGTTTTAGAGAGGTTTTTGGGCTCTGAGTCTTAGCGTTTCGGCTGTAGGGTCTTAAGGCTCGGCCTGAGGGTAGGCTGGGCTACCAGGATCCAGGGTTTGCGACTTCGGGTAATACTGGGTTTAGGGTTTAGGGTTTAGGGTTTAGGATCGAGGGTTTGCGACTTCGCCAAGGGTCCACGTACCCAAATAGTATATACTCTGGCCCTAAAGTACCCCTATAATCCTAAGGGTCCATGTACCCCACTAGTATACACTTTGGCCTTAAAGTAGTCCCTATAGAGGTACTTTGGGGCCAAAGTATATACTATTTGGGTACATGGACCCTCAGGGCCATGAACCTCAGCAGCTAGAAGTCGAAACCCCAAGCCTGAACCATCGAAGCGTAAAGGCCACATACGGTTTAGGGTTTCAGGGTTTAGGGTTTAGGATTTTGGGTTTAGGACCCAAACCCATCAGCAGCATGGCACGGCAGGCAGCGGCGGCGGACGATGCATCATCGGAGACTTGCACCGGTTATACATCAGCCACAACCCTCAACTTGCCCTTGGCCCTCAACCCTAAACCTGAAACTCTAAACCCTAAACCCTGATACTTGCATCAGAGCCTGTCTTTGGTCGAGGGATTATGGGCGTTGTCGGAAACCCTGAACCCTGAACCCTGAACCCTAAACCCTAAACCCTGAACCCTAAACCCTAAACCCTAAACCCTAAACCCCTGAACCCTGAATCCTAAACCCTAAACCCTAGTGTGATAGGAATCCTTATCAGCCGTGGAAAGGCAGGCTGAGGTCTTCTTGCTCCCGGGGTCCCAGTAAGCGTGAAACCCCAACCTACTATAGGGGCCTTCATAATTCGACTGGGGTTTTGGGGGGTTCCTTATTATGATAATAGTATGTCGCATAGTATAATATTCAGATTACCACTAATATATATATATATATATATATTATTATTATAGTAAATTATTCAGATTACCACTACTCTATATCATAGTGTACCCCAAAACCCAATTCTGACGAAAAAGTCTCCTATATTATTTGAAAGATCGCACTGGGCAGCTGTTGAGCCCAGCAAAGTCCCGCATGGTTGCCCCCCTTTTCTGGACATTTAACGGCCTTTTCTTGTTCCTTTTGCCAGTAAACCCTCAACTCTAAACCCTCAACTCTAAACCCAAAACCCTAAACCCTAAACCCAAAACCCTAAACTTTAAACCCTACACACCCCCCTCCCCCCCCCCCCCCCAGCATCCAAAGCTCCTGCACGCGAAC